CCACCACCACTAGTCTCAGGCACAGTTCCCTCCTAAGTTCCCTCTGTCCACTTAGGAGGCATTAGGTAGGCAGCAAAGAAGGGAAGGAATGATGTAAAGTGGGCAGGGGACAGACAGGGCATAGGGAAATGGAGCCCATTATAACTGGAGAACCTGGAGTCTGATTTTTCTCATTCTGCCATACCTCCCAGGGAAATACTAGAACCCCAAACAGCTGACTTTGGCCTTACTATTGGACTGGTAATGCTTCTGGAGGAGGTCAATGCTAGTCTCTTGTTCAGCTAGCCTATCAGAGTGAAAGGAAAACCAGACTTTAGGTCAAAATATCAAAGCTCTGGTCTTGGCTCTGCCCATAGCTATCAATTGGTGGAACTCACTAAAATTTTCCAGATCTCCGATTCTCTTTCTGCAAAACGTGTGGGTTGGAGAAGATGAATTTTAAAGGCCCTTTCAGCATTAAAATTCCACTTCTAGCCTTGGAGCATTCACAAATCACATTAGGAACTTTATTATAAATGTCAAACACATCCACAGAAACACCGTTCTTTGGATTGCCACCTGCTCATCAACTAGCTCATGACCAGCAGTGAAAGGCTCCCAGTCAAAAGGGGTGTCCTGTGACCTGGGACAGATGTGCCCGTTCAGGAACAAAGGACAAGCAATTGCAGCAACAGCAGCAGCAGCAGCAGCAGCAGGAGCTCAAACCTCCCAACTGAAATGGAAAGCCAAGTGGCCCCATTTTCAATCTTTCGGGGATGAATGAGAGAATGGTATGGACATATTTCCTTCACCCACATGGGTCCTATTGTGAGGATCCCAGACATCAGCCTGCAACCAGTTACGGATGTACAGCCTTTGACCTCCAAAGCTGAGTTGATGTCTCCTGTAGAACAAAAAAGGATGGTGAGACACACAGATGTTTTAGGAAATCAGAAAAAAATCCAGTCCTCCCTTATTCCTGGGCCCCAAGAGTGTCAGAATCTCTTGGGATCCACTCAGATATTTGGTTTTCCAGCCTCTGAAACCATCAGATGCTCAGTTTACCTCCAATGATCTGAAGTCTTCCTTGATAACATCGATTTGTATCTTTGGGACAGGGAAGAGAAGGCGCACTCAAACAGGTCCCCAAAGCCACACAGGTTGGGCAGCGGAGGGTTGTTGACACATTGGAAGCTGGAGGGGGAAAAAGAGGGACAATTAAGGGCATGTCCTGCCCCTGGAGTTCTCTCTCTTTGCTGTCTTCTCTTCCCAAATCCTTCCTGCTGACGCCACTCTAATCAAGGCCTATTGCTGCAACCTCCCCACCCCTTTCCAACTGATTTTCTTTGCTGTCAGAACAACATCCAACATGACTTCCAAACTCCACGCATAAGTGTGAAGATACAGAGATGAAAAGGACCCAGTTCCATCTAGGATCATTGTCTGGAAAGAGAAGGATGGAAGCAATTAACTACAATCCCAATTCAGTAGGCACTGTGTCCTAGGTACAACAGCAAAGGATTGGAGGAGGACCTAATTATGTGAATTTGTTAAGTATTTTCACAGAGCGGAAACCTGAGTTGAGATAGAGGATGAATAGAGGTTAGTTATGTGGAAATGGAGGTTGGAGGGTGAGGTGGGTAGGAAAGGAAACAGCAAGGACAAAGGCCTGGAGGTGTGAACCAGCTTTGTGAATATGGAGAATTGTGAGAAACTGCAGTGTTGATATTCAGCTGGTAGGTACAAGTAGGGCTAGACTGGTTTTCATAACCAGCATCCGTTCTGATTGGCCAGTATCACCTCCATTGTTAAGTACCGTATTTGCCGGCGTATAAGACGACTGGGCGTATAAGACGACCCCCTAACATTTCCACTCAAAATACAGAGTTTGTTATATACTCGCCGTATAAGNTGGGTGGGAAAGGGAGATTGAATTTCAGGGAGGGAAGGACATGAACAGCCCTGGAGGAAGTAATGAATATCATGGTGATGACAGAAGCTAAATCCATGTGGATGAAGGAGTAAATATGTGGCAGGATCCTATTTTGCTATTACTGTTGTCTCCCCACTCCCCGGTTCTTTATATTATCCCTCTTGCCCCTTTTCTCCCATTCAATCAGTAGGGCTATTACCACAGAAATGCAAACAGCCAGAAATACTTTAATGTTCAGCCTTGAAGTTTCAAAGTAGGCTATGTAAGTTGAGGAAGAGAGAATAATTTCCAAAGGCCCAACTTTGATTTGTTAGACGTGGACTTTTCAAGTTTCCATTTAATAATGAAAGCCTTGTGCCAGCCGAGTGGCTCAGTTGGTTAAGAGCACAAGCTCTGAGCAACAGGGTCACCGGTTCGATTCCCACATGGGCCAGTGAGCTGCGCCCGAGCTGAGCTGCCAACAGGTGGCAGGATGTCTCAGCTGGTGAGAGCACGTGCTCCTAACAACAAGGTTGCCGGTTCGATTCATGCATGGGATGGTGGTCTGTGCCCTCCACAACTAAAATTGAACATGGCACCTTGAGCTGAGCTGCCCTGAGCTGCCGATGGGCAGCTGGATGGCTCAGTAGTTAGAGCGTGCACTCTTAACAACAAGGTTGCCGGTTTGACTCCTGCATGGGATGGTGGGCTGTGCCCACCTGCAACTAAGATTGAAAATGGCACCTTGAGCTGAGCGGCTGTGAGCTGCTGATGGGCAGCGGAACGGTGACTAGACTTGGAGCTGAGCTAGTTGCACCCTCCGCAGCTAAGATTGAAGGACAACAACTTGGCTGTTCCCCTTCCCCAATTTCCCAATAAAATCCTTAAGAAAAAAAAGAATGAAAGCCTTATGGCTTGATTGTTGCCAAAAAAAAAAAAAAACCTCAATAGAGTTGAGAAAAATGTGTGATAGCAGTCTGCGTAAGGTGGGTGATACATTCCAGGGTCTACGCCCCATCTCTTTTCCACTACATTGGGAAAAAATGAGTCCCTATGAAGTTACCCTTTCTCCAGGTCTTGGGGGAATTTCATCAGCTATGTAGGATGTGTAGGTAGCCTCAGGTTCCTGAAGCACCATAGTGGGACCTGAGAGCAGTTAGAAGAGGCCCAGAAGTAGCTAAGAGGGATGGCGGGGCTGAGGGGACCTGC